CGTCCAGGAGCCAGCAGGTCAGGACACACAGATGGAGGACGAAAGTGGCGACAAGGAGGAGGCCACGGACAGCGGTGGCCATCCAGAAGCGGCTAGTTCAAGAGATGGCCCTCGTGGTGCCGCCGATAGTGCACAACCACATGTGGGGGCGCCCACAACGCCTGGGTTTCGACGACCTGGGGGGATATCGGCCGAATCTGCAGAAGCTCAGCGCAGACGGAGCCAGGAGCGCCGCATGAGGGGACGCGGGCAGGAGGGCCCACATCGAGTCAGAGAACCAGCGGCATCGACTACACCGCTCGTGCAGTTCGACCACGGGTTCAAAAACACACACAGTGGACAAAACACACACACACAAACGTTGGAAAAACACACACAAACATACATGTGGGAATACACACACAAAAACAGACACACACACACACACACACACACGCACACACACACACACACACACAAAACACACACACACACTGTGTGTGTTTTTTTTTCCCACGAGGCTCGGGGAGGACGGCTCGGGTCACAACCTCACGGTGGCAGTGGGCAGAGATCGGAGAGGTCGGGCTGCCTCGTGGGAGTAGTCGTCGAGACGTGCAGTGGCCGGAGCTGCGCGCACCTGGCCGCGGGTGAGCACGGAGGTGCCGTGTGATGGTGGGACTCTGGAGTCCATGATGACCTACCAGCCTGGAACATATCCCTATCCCTATGCTGGGCATCTCTTCATCACGATGCCAATCTTATGGATTCCCTTATTTTGAGGGCGCATCCCTAAGATTGTCATCGCTTTTTGGCATGTCAATCTTAGGGATAGGGATCTGTTCGAGGCTGGTAAATGACTGGGGGTCCACCGACCGAGTAAAGAAGTATGTTAAGGAGGCTGCTGAAGCTCAGATGCGACTTCGGATCGCATCGAGGGGCAGCCATGCATCAAGGAGGGATCGAGACTAGAGTTCAGACGGTTAACTGGCTTCGCACGATCTGCACGGCTTGCTCTCGAGAGGAAGTACAGCATGAAGATCACAGAGGACATGCCCATCATCCCGTGGATGGTCAAGCACCAGGTGCTCTGCGACAACTGGTCCCAGCTGAGGAGGAGCAGTGGTCGCACAGTCTTCGAGGAACTTCGGTTGGCACCCTACAAAAACTCAACCCATGCTGAAATTCGGGGAGACGGTGACCGGCGAGAACCAGGTCGGGCTCTACGACAAGCTGGGGTCAGCATGGTGCAAGGGTATGTGGCTGGGGCGGTCTGCGAAGAATGATTCGCACCTCGTCGGCACAGCTACGGGCGTCACGTTGGCGAGGACGGTCAAGCAAGTTACCCGTGAGGAGAGCACCGACAAGGATGTTGTCAGGGCGATGCGTTGGACGCCGTGGAAGATATCCGTACAGGCTGTTGACTACGATGGCGAGAATTGGCATCCGACGGAGGGGGCGTGAGCTTGCAGCTAAAGGTCAGCATAGACGGAGACGCCCACCTCATCATTCCAGGACCTGCCAGCAACCTCGAGCCGAATGTGAGAAAACGATAGCATCAAAGTCGGACGAGCCACCGCAAGTTGTTGTGGTCCTCGTCCCGGGTCAAGCCGCGGGTGCTGTACAATCTCAGCCAGGAGGAGACCCGCAGCAGGATGCCGTGACGCAAGCACGACGCCAGGTACAGCGACGCGCCTGCGTGGAAAGCAGGATGTTTCGAGTGACTAGTGGGCTTGATTTCCACCACCACCACCATCATGAGTAGGAGGGGGAGGGGGTCCTCCTCCTCTTCCTCCTCCTCCTCCTCTTCCTCCTTCTCACCCTCCACCTCCCTCCCCCCTCCAACTTATGGTGGTGGTGGTGGTGGTGGAAAACAGGCCATCAGTGACGTTCCCGTGGCTTCAGGACAGAGACCAAGTGTCGAGCAGAGGAAGCCGCTCTCGGAGAGGGAGGCCCTGGGGGCCCACCCGGCAAGCGGAGCATAGCTGGTGCGATCGAAACGTTGGGCGAGTCCGAGCTGCAGGAGCTGGTGGGCCTGCTTTCCACCATCACCACCATGAGTAGGAGGGGGGGTCCTCCTCCTCCCTCCTCCTCCTCTTCTTTCTTCTCCTCATCCTCCACCTCCCCCCCCCTCGAACTTAGAGTTGTGGCGGTGGAAAAAGAAGGCCCATCAGGAGCTGGCGGCAAGCGTCAGCAAGCGAGGAGATGCCGAGGCTCCTCGCGGGCATCGACAGCGAGACCGAGGAGAACAGCGGGCTCACGCTCGCAGTGGGTGGGTGCACGAGGACGAGTGGGAGGCGAAGCGACTCGAGACACACTTTTCAAGGGGGCGTAAGACCCGGGTACAGGGGACTCGGAAATCCCCGACGAGGTCGTCAAAAAAATGACGAGGCCGAGCCTGCATTTTGACGAGGTCTCCCGCTGCAGACATCCCACGAAACTCCTACTCGTCAAAATCCGAGTCGCGGTCGTCAAAAAACGATGGTGAACCCGAGTCCTGGCAAACCCGGGTCTTACGCTCCCCCGAACTTTTGATGCCCAAAAGGCGTAAGGTGCTGCAGCTCCTGGATCCGAGGGGACCCACTGCGCTCACTTGGAAGTGGGGACGGCAGCAGCGAAGCGGAGAGCTCGAGGCGAGATCCTGCTCGCGACCGTTCGACAAGAAGGTGACGAAGAGTAAGGACGAGCTCTACTGCCCGACACCCTTTCCATTGTCGCTGAAGATCCGGATGGTCATGTCAAGGACTTCGCGACGTTCATCATCGGCATGTCTAGAGCATTCCTGCATACCCCGATGCGCGAGCTTGTTTATGCCGAGGTACCGAAGAAGCAAATGCACCTGCCACACGACTCGGACTGGGTGCTCAAACTCAACAAGACGGTGCTGGATTTCGACGTGCACATCGAGGATCTGTCGACTGGGCGGGACGAGGATTCTCAGATGCAGTTCAAGAGGTTCCTATCGGACCCATGCACGTTCGCCGGCAAGGAGAAGGTGGTGGAAATGTCTAGGCATGTGGACGACGATACGTTGGTTGGCCGCGGGGGTTTGCGCAGAATGCTCTGTGAAAGCTTGATGGGCACTTCTGCTGGGGGAATTCGGAGTTGGTTATTGGAAGATCGGAGATCAAGCACTTGGGACGTGGCTGGCTCCGCAATCCCGAAGGCATCCAGGTGCGCATGCGACATCGTGAAGCGCCTCCTTGAGACCAGCCAAGACATCAAGATAACAAGCCCAATAGCAGGAGCCCAAGACGGAGAGGAAAGGCGAGAGCGAATGAGCGCCATGGAGGAGGAGGAGGAGGAGGAGGAGAAAAAGAGAAGGGCGGAGGAGGAGGTGGAGAGGTAAGAGGGGGGAGAAGGGGGAGAAGGATGAGAATGAGGATGAGGATGAGGATGAGGAGGAGGAGGAGGAGGAGGAGGCGGATGAGGAGGGGGAGGAGGAGGAGGAGGAGGAGGAGGAGCGAACGTCGCTCCAAAGGGGGGTCGCCTACCCACTCGTGCGTGCACGTGCAGCTTCCAGGCAACGAAGTAAGTGCTGAGGCCTGGAACCAGGGTGCGCAGAAACAAGCCAGTGCAACTGGTGCGTCAGGCTAAGCCTCAAGACCGACCGATCGAGTGCATCGTCGGGGGTCGAGGAATGATCCTGGGCTGATCCCAGGCACAACTTCATTAGAACAGAGCTGGAACAAAACTCGCTAGGGTAGCAGACCGCCCACCACAGGTGACGACATCTGAGATAATGTGCCATCGGGTCTGTGCCCTCCCGGCAGCCAAACTTACATGGGCCGAGCGAACAGATGTGGATACATGCATGCAGGCCGCTGTGGGCCACGCTCCAGTGAGGACTTTGGAGGAGGAGGAGGAGGAGGAGGAGGGGGTGTAGGAGGAGGAGAAGGAGGAGGAGGAGGGGGAGGAGGAGGAGAAAGGGGGTTGAGGAGGAGGAGGAGGAGGAGGAGGAGGAGGAGGAGGAGGAGGAGTGGGGGTTGAGGAGGAGGAGGAGGAGGATGGCGTTTCTGTTCTATCGCCGCCAGAGGCCGACCACAGTGCGCTCGTTCACGTCGGGGTCGAGACGACGAGAGAGCTCAGGCTTACCTCGAGTGGTTGCTCGGCTACACGGTGCCAGTGGCTCTGGAGAGCGACAGCAGCAGCGCTCTCACACGCTCTCGTCAGCGTCGAGGAGAAAGAAGCCGGCCGTATGCGACACCTCGAGTTGAAGGATGAGTGGGCTAAGGACCTGGTCGCCAAGAAGGAGGAGACGAAGGTCAACACGAGAAAGATCCAGACCGACATTTGGCACGGCGCAAGATACAGACCGATATCACCGTCCTCGGCATGACGTGGAGATGAACAAGTAAAGCAATCCATTGTGCTACTTCAAGTCACTACATTCTGAAAGACGTTTGCAGCAACAAGAAGACTGCAGAAATCATCGATATGCATTTGGCCGTGGTGGTCAATCATATGACGGTCGAGGAGGCTAGGAAGCATCTTCGGACAAGAGAGAGAGAGAGATATGCCCTGGATACAGCATGGGGACGAGGTTTGTTGTCAGGAAACGTGTGATCACATCCATGCGGGACATCGAGAATGACATGTCCAAGGAACTAGATGGATTTCTGGACAAATTGCTCCCTCCATGGGCGATGCATGGCAAATGTATGGAGGTCGAGAATATTTCCAGATGCGAGATTTTCCGTGGATTTCATCTGCAGTCGGATTCGGGGCGGAGTCCGGGAAACATGCTATATGTTGGGATAAGGAAAAAAGTGGTGAGAGACGTGAGTGAGGTAAATGGGTTGTTGAGCAGCTGGCGAGGGCCAGCAAATGATGTGCATTAGGGCCAACACATGATGCGTACTGTGATCGAGCCGTTCTGGATCGCGTTGACCGGTGCGGAAAAAGATTCACAACCTTATCGGGGAAACGTCCGTGGACCCCAGCTCTGCCTAGCAGCATCAGGATACCTGCGTACTTATAGAAGAGGGAAGCTCACAGCAGGCGGCGACGCGGATCGAGCGGGCCTAGCGGACCAGCGAGCCCAGGATATTGCGTCCACCCGCCCTGTGAAGAATATCCCTGGCGCGGCAATGGGAAGCAATCGCATCCCTCTGGTCATCCTCGTCGCATGCTTCCTCCCCGTACTGGTCCTCCTCGTGCTGCTCCTCACTAGTAATCATCATGCACCTTCACTTTTCTCTCCTCCTCCTCCTCCTCTTCCTCCTCCTCCTCTTCCTCGTCGTCCTCATCCACCTCGCCCTCGGCACCCGCAAACTTCCCATCCTGCCCCTGCTTCTCCCTACTCTAGATGCTCCTGCTTCCCATGAATCACCTCACGCCTCCTGCGCTCCTCCCTCCACCCAAGGTCGCTTATCTCGGCCGCTCGGTTACTCTGCGGCACTGGCTGCGCATCCTGGCAGGGCCTCGCCCCGAAGTGCTCCCGTCTGCCGCCGCTCCGTGCACGGAAGTCTCCGCTCGTCGTTCTTCCTCTCCTTCGGCACAGCCTAAGAAGCGCCTCTGGCGCTGGCAGATGAATGCGGTCGCAACGGTGGAGTTACACCCCCCCTGCGCTTGTCACGTGAATCCATCTCGATGAGCCGCCTGGCACATGGCGCACGTGCCTCCAAAGCCACAGCACCCGCTCGTCAGGGCTATCAGTATCCGTTCGGGAACCCTCGGGCGCCGCCGACCCCGTCGCCCTCGCGAAGGCGCGGCTGGGGATGCAGGACTGCAGAGAGAGAGGCTGCGCGTCTGTTCGCCCCCACGCTCCCGCCCTCCTCCCTTGGCACCCTCCTCCCGCTGCTCCCGCCCCCGCCCATCCAGGTCGGCCACCGCCCAGCCTCGTGCTTCGGGCCGCGCGGGGCGCGCGCATGCTCGCGCTCCGGCGCCGCACCCTGGATTGGGGGGCGGACAGATACGGATACGTGTTGCCCCCGGACCTCTCTTGGGGTGCGTTCTGACCAGAATTTCGAGGCGAATCCAGCGGTGGCAACGAGGATTCCCCAGGAGGACCAGGAAAGGCCGAAAACGAGGGGGGACAACACGTATCCGTATCTTTTTCTCCCCCGACTGGAGAGGGGCACCTCTCTGGCCCAGCCAGCGCAGCGCGATCGTCGTCGCGCCCCCCCACGAGCGTCCTGCTGCACCGTCGCCGAGCTGCCACACGGCTCGCGGAGCAGGGAGCGCAGGGGCTCTTCCGGCCACGGCGGGCTCTCGGCCCCGCACGGGTTCCCAGACCCAGGTCCAGGGAGCGGCCCGAGCATCAGGGCCCCTCCTTGAGCGCGAAAGTGGTCCTCGGTATGAAGCGACTTGGCTGCAGGGCATCGTCGTCGCCGGCCGAGGCATGCAGCCCCACGCAGAGGAGGGGCCAGCCGAACCTGTGTACGCTCAGGACGATCAGACGGACCCTTCGGGAGAGGGCAGGGGCAAAATGAAGCAGGGCGACAAGGACGGAAAGTGGGGGAGGGTCGAACTGTGTGTGGGGGCTTGTGTGTATGTGTTTGCGTGTGTGTGTGTGTGTGTGTGTGTGCGCGTGTGTGTGTGTGTGTGTGTGTGTGTGTGTGTGTGTGTGTGTGTGTGTGTGTGTGTGTGTGTGTTGTGTGTGTGTGTGTGTGTGTGTGTGTGTGTGCGTGCGTGCGTGCGTGCGTGCGTGCGTGCGTGCGTGCGTGCGTGCGTGCGTGCGTGTGTGTGTGTGTGTGTGTGTGTGTGTGTGTGTGTGTGTGTGTGTGTGTGTGTGTGTTGGTGTGTGTGTGCGTGTCGTGCGTGCGTGCGTGCCGTGCGTGCGTGCGTGCGTGTGTGTGCGTGCGTGCGTGTGTGTGTGTGTGTGTGTGTGTGTGTGTGTGCGTGCGTGCGTGCGTGCGTGCTGCGTGCGTGCGTGCGTGTGTGTGTGTGCGTTTGTGTGTGTGTGTGTGCATGTGTGCGTGCGTAAGTGCGTGCGTCCGTGCATGCGTCCGTGCGCGCGTGAGTGCGAGCGTGCAGCGTGCGTGCGTGCATGCGTGCGTGCGTGCGTGCGTGCGTGTGTGACTGTGTGCGTGCGTGTGTGTGTGTGTGTGTGTTTGTTTGTTTGTGTGCGTGTGCTTGTGTGTGCGTGCGTGCGTGACTGCGTCCGTGCGTGCGTGCGTGCGTGCGTGCGAGCGTGTATGCGTGCGTGCGTGCGTGCGTGCGTGCGTGCGTGTTTGCGTGCGTGCGTGCGTGTTTGCGTGCGTGCGTGCGTGCGTGCGTGTGTGTGTGTGTGTGTGCGCTTGTGTGTGCTTGTGTGTGCGTGTGTGCTTTCGTGCATGCGTGCGTGCGTGCGTGCGTGCGTGCGTGTGTGTGTGTGTGTGCTTGTGTGTGCTTGCGTGTATGTGTGTGCTTTGTGTGCACACGGACGAGCGCCAGCGCAACGTGGTCATCACCCCTCTCGGCCTTCCGCCCGCCCGCTGGCCCGAGCAGGACGGGCATCGAAAATGCCTTCAGCATGGCAGTCAACGAGTGGCTGGAGACCAGGGGCAACCAGCACAGTGACAGAGAGCTGCACCCGATTGGCCCTTCGCCCATGCTGCCTCGAACGTGGATTTGTGCCTCCTTGGGCTGTCTGCCCGCCCCCGGCCGCCCTCCATAGGACGAGAAGAATCTATTGACACAACGTGCCATTGATACATTCCAGGGATTCTGGGATTTCTAACAGCCTTCGCGCGGGGTACACTTTGCGCCGAGTATTGCCTACTCTGGCTGGCGCCGCTGGTCGGTCACCCATTCGCACTCGCCTTCGCAATCGAGTGGTCGCCCATGCTCCTCTGACTCAACTGGGTATGCCGCCTCACCCTGGCTGGACCCCTGCCCCTTGCTAATGCTGCTCGTCCCCCGCCCGCCCTCCGCCCGGCCATGGTCCTGCCAGGCCTGCCGTGGCTCTCTGCCCCACCCGACGCGGCCACCGGAGGGTCCGCCCGGACCCCCTCGGCATCAACCCCGCCTCGCCCCCAGACATCCGACGTCTGGATTTTTTCGAGACGCGGGCCCCCGACTTCCCGACCACTTCCCCGGGCCCAGTTTTTTATTCCGAGCCTGTTGTTAATGGTCCTGAGGACTGGTGAGGGCCCCGAGAGGCCAAAAACTGCGAAAACCCTTCGTCTCGATCTTTCCGAGACGCCCGATGTCTGGGCGCCTCGCCTCTGCCTGCCGCTACGGGCTCAGCTTTCGGCCCTTCGCCGATGCTGCCTCGGGGGCAGCTCTGCCCGCCCCCGGCGCTCGGCGCAGGCCTGGCATGGCGCCTGGCGCCGTCTGCCCACCGCATCTGCCGCCTCGCCCCTGCTGGACTCTGCCCCTCTTCGCTGCTCGCCCCCGCCCACCTCCTCCTCCTCCTCCTGCTGCTCCTCCTGCTGCTCCTCCTCCTCCTCCTCCTCCTCCTCTTCTTCTTCTTCTTCTTCTTATTCTTCTTATTCTTCTTATTATTATTCTTCTTATTCTTCTTATTATTCTTCTTATTAGTCTTCTTCTTCTTCTTCTTAGTATTATTAGTATTCTTATTATTATTATTATTCTTCTTCTTATTCTTATTATTATTCTTCTTATGATTCTTCTTCTTCTTATTCTTCTTCTTCTTCTTCGTCTTCTTCCTCCTCCTCCTCCTCCTCCTCCTCCTCCTCCTCCTCCGCCGCCTCCCCTCTCCTCTCCTCCTCCTCCTCCTCCTCCTCCTCCTCCTCCTCCTCCTCCTCCTCCTCCTCCGCCGCCGCCTCCGCCTCCTCCTCCTCCTCCTCCTCCTCCTCCTCCTCCTCCTCTCCTCCTCCCCTCCTCCTCCCTCCTCCTCCTCCTCCTTCCTCCTCCTCCTCCTCCTCTCCTCCTCCTCCCCCCCCTCCTCCTCCTCCTCCTCCCTCCTCCTCCCCCTCCCCCTCCTCCCCCTCCTCCTCCTCCTCCTCCTCCTCCTCCCGCCTGGCCCTGGTCTTGCAGGGGCCCGCGGTGACTCCCCGCCTCGCCCGACGCGGTCCTCCGGAGGGCCCGCCGTCCGCCGTGGAGCCCCTCGGCGTCGGCCCCCCGCCTCCCCGCTGGGCCTGTGGCTGCCGCGGCGGGCCCAGCTCGTCCCCGGCCCGGCCGCGCGTGGGCTTCGGTCGGGCATGTCCTCCTACAGGGGGACTTGCTGGAGGGGAAAGGACAAACAAATGAGTCCACAACTGTTCAAACATGGCCACAGCAAATAAGAAGGAACACGTCCCCAGACTGGTTTTGGACTACAGTCGGGGCGTTGACCTAAGGAACCCTAAATAAGGAACGAGGCCCCTTTTCTCCACGAATTAAACTTCGACTTCCCATCGAGAACAGAAGGAAAGCCTGAGGCAAGCCGTGAAACACTTCAGGAACACGGAGCCCCTCCCCAACGAAAAGGGTTCCTTCTTCAGGGCCCCGACTGTACAGGGGGACTTGCTGGAGGGGGAAGAACAAACAAGTGAATCCACAAATGCTCAAACATGGCCACAGCAATTCAGAAGGAAAACGCCCCCCAGACTGGTTTTGGACTACATTTGCATGTTTCCTCCTGTAGGGACTAACCAGCCTCGAACGTATCCCTATCCCTACGATGGGCGATCACAAAGCAAGGACAATCTTGGGGAGAGGCCCTCAAAAACTGAGAGAACCCTTAAGATCGGCATCGAGGTGAGGTGATGTCAAACATAGGGACAGGGACATGTTCCAGGCTGGTGGAGGGACGCGCCCGACTTCACCCTGGGCCTGCCGGGCCAGTCCGGCTCTGCTGCGCCGCCTGCCCGTCGCGTGCGGCCTCTGCCCCGCCCCCTCTGGCTGGCCACGGTCTCGCCGCGCCGGGGCGGGGGCCCGCTCTTCGGCTCGCCGGCCGCGGCTCGATCCGCTGGGAGCCCCTCGGCATCGAGCGCTGCGTCGGCTCGCTCGCAAGCTCGCAGGGCTTGCCCCCCCCCCCCCCCCCCTGCTCGCAGGGCTGGGGCGGTGTCTCGGCCTGCGCGCCTTCCCTGGCCTCTCGGCCTCTTTTCCTGGCGGCCCGCCGCGCCTTTCCGGCCACCTGGCCACCCTCCCCAGACCCCCGACGCCACGCTCTGATTCTCTTTACGTCGACCCCCAGAACATTCGACCCACTTCCCCGGGACGCTTCTCATTCTGGCTGAGCCGTCAACTCGTTTGACGGCCCCGAGGCCCGCCTCCCCGCCTGGTCCTCGGCTTCGGCCTCCCTGTTTGTACGCCAGACCAGTTTTTACACCGCGGGGTGTCGCTGCGGCTGAAGACGCACCCAAAACCAGGAAGGCAACAAGTCTTTTTCATCCTCCCCCTCCTCCTCCTCCTCGTCCTCCTCTTCCTCCTCCTCCTCCTCCTCCTCTTCCTCCTCCTCCTCCTCCTCCTCCTCCTCATCCTGGCCGTTTTGCGGCGGCTGTTTTGCGGCCGTTCTGCGTCTTCCTCCTCCTCCTCCTCCGCCTCCTCCTCCTCCTCCTCCTTCCTTTCCTCCCTTAGAAGCGGGGCGCCAACTCCTTGCCGCCACGGCCGCGGCCCTTGCCGCCCCTGGTACTCTTGCCGCCCTTGGTCTGCGCCATTCGCGCTTCGGCGCTGCCGCCAGCGGGAGTGCCTCTGGGGAGACGGGGCGACGGGGTGGGTGGGGGGGGGACAGGGGCAGGGCGGTATGTGAGGGAGCAGGCGAATGAATGGGGGAGGGGGGCAAGGTTACATTTGAGACCCTTTGGCGCGCGGTCTGTTTTTTGCACGGCCGTCGCGCAGCAGACCATGGTGTCAGCATCAACTACACCATTGGGTTACTGATCGTATTGCGAGTTACTGCTGCAACTACTGATCGTGTAAACCAGTTCTGATACTAACCAGCGCGCACAATAGTACTCCCACCCATCGGTCGGAAGAAGTAGATAGAAACATGAAATAGGAAGGCACTGGAAAAAATGTGGGTTCCATCCGCCCCCGAAGGAGAACGGAAGAGGTGCAGCCGCTAGATCATTGACGCAGGAAGGCGCTCAAAAGGGACTGGAATCTGGGAATGCAAAAATACGGGCTTTCAACAACCGATGAGCACGATTTCCATGACTCGTGGTCCAACGTCGTACTCGAAGGTCGCAACCGCTGCAGACTGAATCGCGGGAGCGGGAGACGGCGCACAGCCGGCGAGAGAGAGAGAGAGAGAGAGAGCAGCATGTCACTCTCTGCTCGGCGCCGCGCGCTTGTCCCGCGAGTGGAGCTGCCGCTGGGGCGCGGCGTGCGTTTGTCGCTCGCCGGGTCGCCGACGTCTGCTGCGTGCGCGTTTCGCGCGGGCCCCACGAATATGCGCCGCCACCGCGTCGATTCCTCCTCCCTCCCCTGCCCTCCTCTTTCCCTCCTCTTTCCTGCGGGGGGGAGGGGGGGAGGGAGGTGGTGGTGGTAGTGTACACACGTCGTTCATGTCTAGTCGTGCTCACTTCTAAGTGCGTTCATTTCGAATTGTTCTTGGCCACCTAGGGGCCAGGATGGGCAGGGCAAAAATAACTAGAATCGAAAGGATCTCGACCCCCCCCAACAAAAATCAGAGAACTTTGAGCGCGTTTCTCTATGTTCGGCGATGACGGGCGTCATGGGGGGGGGGGGGGGAGGGCGGGGGGGGGGGATGACGTGACGCCCCCCCCCGCCGAGTGGCTCCGACGAGCGACGAGCGACGAGCGACGAGCGACGACGACGACGCGAGCAGCATGTAAGTGGCGATCTGCCCATTGCGCCTGTGTGCACCACAACGCTCGCGTGCACCACGCCGCGCGTGTGCACCACAACGCCTGCGTACACCGCAACAGCCGTGTGCAATGCACCGCCCGCGTATACCACAATACTTGGGAGCACTACAGCGCCGGTGTACATACAACCGCAGCAGCCATGTGAAAGAAAACGCCTGTGTACACCACAGTGCTTGCGTACACCGCAGAGCTTATGCACGCCACAGCGCCCGTCTACACCACAGCATCCGCGTGCAACGCAGCGCTGGTGTACACCACAGCGCCTGCGTGCACAGGACCGGTAGAAGGAACATGTACGTCAGGATTTGCTGCGGACAACTAAACGCCACGCCAGGAAAGTTCTGAGAATCGAATACGACATTTGTCCTTCCTCCCTCCTCCTCCACCTCCTCCTCCTCGTCCCCCTCATCCTCCTCCTCTTCTTCCTCCTCCTCCTCCTCTTTCCTTCTTTTCCTCCTTCTTACCCCCCTGTCGTGCGGCTTGGCGTTACAACGCACGTGCGCATCTCATCGTGCACCGAAGAATGGTCGATTGAATCGGTCCACTTGGTTCTCGGACGGCCAGTTTAGCTGGAGCCTCCTGGACGCAAATGGAAGTTAGGGTGATGCGGGCGGACTCGGGGGGACTCGTAGATTCCAGCGGCGCTCCTTTGTCCATGAAGATTTGTTTTCCGTTGTTTTCTCTGGAATCCACGCGCGCTCAATTTTGTCACCAGGACTCCTTCTGAAATTCTATACACAACAATGGTGCTGTGTTGCGCGCGGTTGATGTGGTGCACACAGGCGCCGTGGCGTACACAGGCACTGCAATGCACGCAAGCATGTGGTGTACACTGTGTTGTGTTGCGCACGGCTGATGTGGTGTACGCAGGAGCTGCTGTGCCCGGAAGCGCGATGGCACAAACTGACGCTGTGTTGCACGCGGCTGCTGTGGTGTACATCGGCGGTGTGGTGTGCACAGGCGCTGCGGTGCACGCGGGCACTGTGATGTACACAGGCGTTGTGGTGCATATCGCCACCTACATGTTCGTGCTACCCGTCCTCCGCCATTCCTAAGCATTCCCAGACGCCGCCGGCGCGAAACGTGACGTCATCGACCCCCTCCCCCCCAGATGATTGCCGTCATCGGCCCGGAATAAAAAACAGGTTCCAGCCGCGTCCGCGCGCACGACGAGGATGATCGACGAGCGACGAACCACGAGCGACGACGACGACGACGACGACGACGACGACGACGACTCCTGCGGACCAGACACCTATGCGGATTCCTACGCGGACACCTACGCGGATCCCAATGCGCACGGCGGCAGTGCCCGGAGCGCACTGGGGGGGGGAGCGTTACGTCATAGGGGGGGGGGGGGGAGCGGGGGCCATGACGCCCGTCATGCCCCAAGCAATAAAGAAACGGGCTCTTTCGAAACAATTAGGAACGAACCATGTCTTCATGTTTGGGCCCCGTGTTTCGCTCGCCGGCGCGACGCGCCGGCGGCCTTGCCTCGGCGGGGCGGGCTCCAAAAAACCCAACACGTCGCGAGGTCGTCCGGGGTGGGGCCGCGCGCGAGCGGGCGACTCCTCGCTCGGGCTCCCAGCTCCGTCCCGAATCCGTCTGGGAATCGGGGCATACAGTCGGGGCGCTGACCTAAGGAACCCTAAATAAGGAACGAGGCCCCTTTTTCTCATAAGTTAAGCATCGATGTCCCACGGAAAAACCTCAGGAAGACCTGAGGCAAACTGTTAAACAATCGAGGAACACCGAGCCCCTCCCCAACGAAAAGGGTTCCTTCTTCAGCGCCCCGAATGTAGCCTGAACAGTGTTTTCGGTTCGCGCTTCGCTTCCGCTTCAAAACGAAGTCTGAGCGAAAACGCCGGCCGGCGTCGCGCGGGCCGTTCTGAAACCAGACCGCGAGTGGACAAAACAGCAGCCCCCGAGCACCAACGAAAACAAAACGCATAACAGAACGGTGGCACCAAAAAACGAGACGCAGAACAGAACGTGGCACCAAAAAACAAAACGCATAGCGCCACTTCCAGTGGAAATGACGTCTCTGTTTATGTTGCCCCCTTCGTACTTAAGGACATCATCCCAGAAATGATTTCGAGCACCCGGAAAAGTGTCGAAATAGTGTCGAAACAATGTCGACAGTGTCGAACGAGTGTCTCCCAGGGCCTGGCACGTGAAAACGCTCGAGCCCGGGGGTACCTTTTTCTGGTGCTCGAGTTCTTTCGGGCGATCAAGGCGAAAGTAGGTTGGAACATCATAAGTCTCTGTGTGTCTGCAGCATCCTTGAACGCCTCGTCGAAGAGATCCTGACTGAGTCCGCGTGTCCTCCCGCTCTGCTGGACCCACCAGAGCCCCACGGGAAGAAGGGGACGGCGGCGGAGTTCGCAGCCCCGTGGAGCCACGAGATCTCGCCTGGGTCTGCGCGTCTCCCCCCCTCGCGCCTCCCCCCGACCTCCCGGGAACCCACGGGAAAGGCGACGATTTCGCAGCTCGCGGCCCCACACGGAGCAGCGAGGCGTCGACTGGGTCCATGCGTCCCCCCGTCCCTCTGGACCTCCCCGGAGCCCACGAGAGTGGCGACGCTTGCGCCGTTGGCAGCCCCCCCCCCCAGAGCTCCGATGTCTCGAGTGGGTCTGCGTGTCCCCTCGCCCCGCCGGACCTCTCTGGAGCCCGCGAGCATGGCGACGGTTGCGCAGCTGGCAGCCCCTCACGGAGCCGCCAGGTCCCCCCCTCCACCCCGCTGGATGTCCCAGGAACCCGCGAACATGGCGACGGTTGCGCAGCTGGGCGCAGGCGGCAAGTGGGACGTATGGAGCATGCAGGATGGACGTAGCAGGCAAGACGACGAGGGAAGCGGGAGGCCGAAGCAAGAGGAGGGAGGAGGCGAGGGATTTTCCCAGCGCGCTGCTAACACGGGCTCCAGAAAGAACGGCTGCGAGGCCTGGCCGCCAGGTCGGAAACATGCAAGCGTCAGCTCAGCTGGTGAGGCTCGTATCAGAGGGAAAACCTTTGCACTGCCTCTGGATACCCTCCAGCTGGGACTTAGAAGTAGCATGGGGACCCAATGCGGCCATCGTGCAGGGCTCCCACAAACGATGCGGACAAGCGTTCGCCCGGCCGCTACAAGCCCATCAGAAATCAATGGATGCCTTCTGCCATAATGCGTGGGAGGCATGGACCTCCTTTCCCGATGTCCAGAGGGATGCCCTGGTCGGGGAACGACCCAGCCAGAGAAAAAGCCACAGGCTGTCATCGCGCTCGGGGAAGAAGGTGGGGAGGGAGGGAGGCGGGAAGAGGAAGGAGGTGGGAGGACGGAGACCAACAGTGATCTGCTCGAAAGGAAGACGACCTGACCACGGGAGGGCCGGGAGCCCCACCAGCCCTTGAAGGCCCGAGTGGTTTCGCGCGTTTCCTCTTCCGGCGCCCCGTTCCCCCTTCGTCGAAGATGTACCCCTCCGTCGACCCTTACGCCTACCCCTGGCACTGGACGGGGCGCCCCGCGACCGATTCGAGCGTCCAAGATGGCCCGCACGGCCTCTTGGGCCGACTGGAGCGACCCAACTGGCGCACAAACCGACAGAAAACCAATGACTATTGCATTCTCGCGCTTTCGCTTCATATAAATTCGCACTAACCTGTTAATTCATCTGACCTCGCCGCCTCCATCCCGACACACCGCGACCCTCTCCCGCTCAGTTCCTCGCTCTCCCTGTTGTTCTCCCCTCCCTCATACCTCCTTGCCTCTTCGGCTCCTCTCCCCCCTGTACCATCCCCGTCCCCATCTTGGACGCCCGAGTTACCCCTGATGATTCGGGGCTCTGGACGCCCGAAATATCCGGGGTAACTCGGGACCGGGATAACTCGGGTTCGGACTCCCGAAAAACGAACCCGAGTTAGCCCTGACCCGAGTTACCCCTGATAATTCGGGGCTCTGACCATCGCCATCCCTCGTTCATATTCCTCCCCCTGCCGCCCCCATGCCCCTGACACCTCCACCGCTGTACCTCTACCCACCACCTCCTTCGCCCGCCAGAATGAAGAGAGGACGGCAGAGAGAGAGAGAGAGCGAGTGAGAGCACGAGAGTGAGAAAGAGAGAGAGAGAGAGAGAGAGCGCGACACATTACATACGCGAAGGGGACAGAGAGAGAAAGAGAGAGAGAGAGAAACAACAAAAAGAGACAGAGAGAATAGAAACAGCAGGATGGATGGCCCACTGAAGCGACAGCGTGCTGCTTCCACAATACCTTGAGCCGAAGGGCCAGTGAGCACGGCGCAGAGAGTGGCCACGTCTCGCAGCGAAGACAATGCCAGCAAGCTGCGTAGTACAGCGGCGCTCTATCATGACAACCACTTGCACAATATCCACGCGAAGAGGACGTGCACCTTGGAAAGGAGCCATTGTACACTGAAGTACTTAGCGATTGATAGCTGCCCCGGCGCGTGATATGTTTAGTTCCAGCATGCTTCGTGCGTACGCGAGCCACACAAACGATTCCAGACGCATGCAGCTACAGTCAGCCAGTATAGTAAGGGATGCGCGATAAGGATGCAAGGGCCTTGGACGCCCACTTCGAAGCTGTTCGAGCGGGGCGCGGCAAGCGAAAGCGGCGAAGGATGGACCGAGGAGGCGAGGATGCAAGGGTACCCTTGGGGAGGTTGCCCAGCCTTACTATCATGGTTGACTGTATGCACGTGTGGAATTCTCTCTCGCCGAGCCACGCAAACGGACATCTCACCGGATACACCGAAACAGCCTGAAAGCAGGGAACAACATAGGGCGGCGCGCTGGTCGCAGGCAAGACCGCCGAGCGACGAGCACGGTTCAGCGTGCCCTCTGCTGCCTTCTCTCCGCCGACGACTTTCGACCTTCTTGCATGTATACACACACTGCTTACGCTGCGCCCTTTTGTTCTCCGCCCCAACCGATTGCAAATACCCGCTGCTGTCGGTTCAAAGCTTCATGGCTGTTCACTCTCTCCGCTGTGCGTCTGCTCCCCCTCTCCACAACGTGCACTGCGTCCTGCGAAATATGCCCTGTGTTATGTTTTCTATGCCGTGTACCATCTTTCTCTGTCTCTCTCCCGCTGTGTCTCTCCCTCTCTCCCTCCGCCTCTCTCCATCTCACGCTAAAGCGTAGTATCTCTCTCTTGCAGTGTCTCTTCCTCTCTCCCTCTCCATCCCTCTCACACAGAGGCGTATGTGTGTGTTATTGGTTTTGTTCTCTCTCTCTGTCTATATATATATGTGTCACGCTATGTTTTTATGTGTTGCGTGTTCTCGCCCGGTCGCTCCGAAACAACATGCCTAGTGTTAGTGCCCCCCTCTACTCCCGATGTACCCTACGCTCTGCAAGCGCGGCCGCCCACTAACATCGACGAGGGATGTAACCCAACACCCAGCAAGGATCGACCTAAACAACTTTGGCGTTTCCGTTTTGTTGTCGCGTTACCTCGGTGTGTCTTCAATCCGCCTTTGCCGCAACACGAAATAGAAACGAAAGCGGCTAACAAAATCACCCAAACACCGTTTGGGTCGACCCCTGATCCCCAGAGCCACAAAAACCTGGAAACGACCGCCCACCGAAACAAGCACCACACTCTCACAAGCAAAACTTGGCTTCACCAAAGAAACAACTTTGAGTTGACCGCGCTTTAAAGTTACCAAGGCCCATTGACCAATACCCAGAGCCAGAGAAACCTTGAAACAACCGTCCACCCAAGCAGGCGCCACACTTTCACAAACAACACTCGACTACACCAGGAAATCCTATCTGAGTTGATCGCACTCTCCATGTACCAGGGCCGCTCAATGTCTCTAAAAGGGGGGCTACGCAAGATGCTTGGAAAGTCGACGTGGCGGGATGAGCAGAAGGCCGATTTTACTCCCTCTCTCTTTCTGTCTCGTTATCTCTCTCTCTCTCTCTCTGTCTCGATATCTCTATTTGTCTCGTTGTTTCGTTCTCTCTCTCTCTATATATATCTCTCTCTATATATACATGTGTATATTTATACACATGTAAACATATCTGACCTCGTCCACTCGGTATATATATATATAGAGAGAGAGAGAGCGAGAGATGCATGTATATATATATATATACATACGCATCGATGGGTATATGTGTATGTATGTGTATAGCAATCGAAACACAAAAAGGCCAATGACAAGGCAACCATCGAGAAATCCCCCGCACTCCATAGAACAACGTCGATCAATATTTGTATACATCGGTGTCACGATCTACGGCTCTATCCCACGATCGGTCGATCGATATTACTGTGTGGGTGTGTCTGTGTGTCGGTGTCACAAACTATCTGGATATCGATCACACTGCCGATATCCCAAACCAACCAGATCGAACACATTATCTAGCTATCCCACTGTCAAAATATTCGCGGACCGATATATATATATATATATACACAGAATGTGTGGTCACACACAAATATTTATTCATATGCATGTATACGTGTATACACACACCTGTATATGTATATCTGTGTATATATACACACCTGTATATGCATATGTGCTTCTATATAATAGATTTTTTATTTATTTATATATATATATATACATATATATATATATATATATATATCCGGTACGGTGCCTCGAGGCACGAAGTGGGGTTAGCCCCAGGCTCTCATGTGTTCTCTGTTCTCTGTACTCAGAACTGGGATATTCTAGGATTCTAGGGTCTGGGGCCCAAGGTCCCCAAAGTTCCTGAGCGCTTCCGCGCGCGCCTGGGATGCCTCGAGTGACATTTCCACTGGCCAGGGGGCCTCAAGACGAGCGAAGGGTGCTCCAGAAAGCGCCCTGGAGGGTCTAACAGGCCTCCAAAAGAAGCGCAAGAGCGCTCCGATAAACCAAAGATGGCTCCAAGACTGCCCAAGAGGCCCCAAAGACGAGGTCTGGGGGCCCTCTGGGGCTGTTTTTCGGCCGTGTTGGACATGTCCTGGGCCATCTCAAAACGAACGCGGGGGCGTCTGGGGCCGTTTCGGTGTGCATCGGAGCCAGACACGCGTTCTCTTAAAAATCAATCGTAAGCGTTTGTAAAATGCACGGAGCTCGGCAATTGGAACCTCCTGGGCAAGTTTTAGCCGGCGTCGTGGGGCGTCTTGGAGGCGTCCTGGGCTGTCTGGAGGCTGTCTTGGGCGTCTTGAGGCGCTATGTTCGTGGGCGGGGGCCGCTCTGGGCCCCGCCAGGACGGTTCCCGGAGGCCCGGGGCGCACATGGCGGCGCGAGGCACCTGGCAGGTTTCCATGGCCACGCGCACACACAAGTACAGTACATATATGCATATATATATATATATATATGTATATATATATATATATATATATATATGTATATGTATATATATATGTATATATATATATATATATATATATATATATATGTATATGTATATATATATGTATATATAGATAATATGTGTGTATATACATATTCATATTTACACACACGGCACAGCTATCTTTCTAATGTAAATGCATACACATACGAACACGCATACACATACATGCATACGTAATACATGCAGGTATCTATTCATACACAAATGTGCGCACTGATGCATGTATATGCATGAATTTACATCTATTCATACATATTTGTGTAAACAGCTTCGCCAGAAAATGACAACAATTTGAAAAGAACAAATGAACCAAACATGGTTCTCAACGCTGTATGAAAAACTGAAAAAAGGCAAACCAGACCACCGGGGACGCCACCGCGACCGCTCTGGCGCTCCGCGTTCAGGGGCAGATTCCTGCGCACCTCCTCTTGACGCAGGCCATGCCTGCCACGCCCTGCGCCCCTGGCGTGGATAGAGACTGCGCTCAAGGACCACCCCTTGCGCACCCTCTCTGGGTCGCGGAAGTGGACCTGGAGTGGGTCGAGACCGCGCTCAGGGACCATTCCATGCACACCCTCACAGGTGCCGAGAAAACGCCGCCCGAGCCTTGCCCAGCGACCCTCGCGTGGACGGAGAACGCACACCCTTACTGGTGCTTGTATATATACATATATATGTATACATATACATACATATACGTATGAACATAGATGTATGCCCTGTTTTTATACATGTATATATGTATATGTGTATTTAGATATGAGTACCTATGTTGGTATACATGTATGTATATAGTTATCGCATCGTCTGGCCTCCGTGGGCAGGATCCGGGCAGGTGGGAGGGGGTCGTTACTTTTGAACAAGTTCTGGATATTATATACATCCGTGCATGGATTAGCCATGGAGGCAAGTTATGCGTTTCCTCTCTCTCTACAATGTATTACACGTCCTTACAGAACAAATGGGTAATCCATCTTTATGTATTAACTGCGTCTGCCCCTTTCTCTGAATGTCTCCCTTCCTCGATGTGAGTAGTATCGTTGCTACCCTGCTTACTCGTGCTACCCTCTATCGATCCTCTCTGCTTAACTCTTTTCTCTACGCTTCGCCCCACGCGCTCTCTACCATGTACTCCATGAATCCGACCGTAATCGCAAGGACCGGGTGCCTGGCCACAACCAACCACTCGAGAATCCGAGGACCTTGCGGTTCCACGAACCCTGGACCTGGAACGAGGAGCCCAAGATCCCGGCCAACCGACATGGGTCCAGAACCCAGAGCGGGAACCCGGGAACCCGGCCGGTAAGTGAAACCAGCCCAAAAGTTCCAACTACTCTGTCAGTCTCCGCTAGAAACCCTTCAGTGCAAGCGCTGAGTGGGAATGTCTTCACCGAATTCGTGTGAAGATGCAGGAAACCACCCCTCTGTGGGTCGATAAAAAACTGCCACAATGCTGCAATCCTGCTTGCTCGTCGCGGCAGCAACAGGCATTTGCCACCCGGTGGACATAGTCGAGCCAAAAGGCGCAAAACAGTCAGAATCGGACCTGGGAGTAGCGGCGGGTCTGTTGCAAGTGCGGTCGAGGTGGGGCTGGTGAGTGGCGCGGGCGATGAGCGGAGGTAGTCGGTGAGGTGCTTTGCGGACGAAGGCGCCACCGTAGGAATTCTAGAGATAGCGGCGTTCGTAGTTGAGGTGGCAGGTAAATGTGCGGTTGAAGGCGTCAGTCGAACGAGAGAACTGATGTGGTTGATAGTTCTGTCGCTGAGGGTCGACACCATGGCTATCTGAAATGTTGACGCCCTACAACTATCTCCTCACTTACCCGCCTCCCCTCTCCTCCGCATTCCTCCATCCACTCGTTCCCCTTGTTCTGCTCCTCCTCAGCCTCTCCCTCCCCCCCAGCTCGCCCCAGCGCGCGCGCGAGACTCCTGAGAAATGTAAGGCGAAATTGCAAGCGGTTGCTTATGACGACGATTGAAACAGAT